CGGTTTCTGTTGAGTTCAAGACGAGTTCATGAAGATAAAGACTTGGAAACAATGGTAAGACTTTAATTCAATTATATTTGTGTATTAAGTGTGAGGTTAGTGTGTGAGTGAGACTGCGTAAAAGGTTAGGCCACGGCGTGCCTGTTAACTCTGCTCCAATTGAGTGTGTGTGCTGTGCTAACTGTGCGTAACAGCAGCCTTTTGATGGTCATTTACACACTGTACATGTGTGATCATGGTAAACACACAAGCTGTAACCATGGTAACAACAACTACAACAGGTACCAAACTGCGTCGGGCTCCGGTCGGGTTCAGACTTAAAAATCAGAAAGTCTGTCAATGTTGGACCGGGCTCGGTTACAACTGTCTTAGACTCAGGTTGGCGGCTTGATACAGGCCACAGTGTGACCTCTCAGGGCAGGTGCACCATTAATTTAACATTGAGTTAACGTTGGTGTTCGCACCACTAATGTTATCTAATGTTAGTGGTGCGAACACAATGCTAAAGGAGTTTTGCTGCTTAAAGTGAAGCCATTTACTCACTGAGCTACCCCAGGGGAAACCAGAGTGTTGCCATGTTTCCTCAGCTACGCTGTCCTGAGTGGCGCCAAAATATTAAAATTTCACCACCTCTACATGGCTTTGAAATGCTGTGCTGAAGCTCACTGAGTCAATGAAGCGCCAAACTAAAAAAAATAGCGCCTCTTGCATTTAACATCAATTTGCATTTTTTATATGCCTCTGCGCTGATGACAGCCGCGGCCAGAGGCATCATGTTTCCGTACATACATACATACACCCCATTCTTGTGAACACTGATCTGATGAACACCTTGAGAGAATTTTTTCAGATTTTGCATGAACTTGGATTCAACAATGAACTGATTAGGTTTAGTTGGTCAAAGGTCAATATCAGTGTAACCTTGCATCTGCCACATTCTCGTGAATGCATTATTTCAAGTGTACCTTGAGGGAATTTCCATAAATTTGTCACAAACGTCCATTCCTACCGAAGAATAAACTGATCAGAATTTTACAGTCAAAGGCTAGTGTGACCTCACAAAATATGTTTTTGTCCACAACTGTTGAATTCATTCACTAATTCTGACCAAACTTGACACAAATGTAGCCTGGAAATCCAAAACGGCAAAGGAAAGACTTGAGCGCCATCTTCAGTTCTTCTTTTACAGAAAAAGCCAAGTCTAACTCGTTCATTGTAGCGGCCAAAGCCGTCTCAAACAACTGGTGTTCATCCGTAGCCATCTTGCAATGTTTACTGACTGATTCCAGACTTCATCGTCGCAGCGCTGTCGTCATCTGTTTAGCTCGCCTCTGGCCCGCCTATATCAGATACACTTATTTGATTGGTGCAGCTTTGTTTCTTTTGCATTGGTTATGAGCATCATTACTGATTGTTTGAGTGACTCGCTGAGCAAATTCAAATTGTGCTCTCGCGAGAACTCTGGATTTACAGGGTAACACAAATGTCTAACAGGATAAAATAATGAAGGTCAAAAGGTCAAAGGTCAGCTTGACTGTGACATCATCATGTTTTAACGTCATATCTCAGGAACAGAAGGGGAGACATTTGGTCAGATACTGAATTGGTGACTCTAATCTTGAAACTGTGCTGATTGTATAGATCTTCTGTGTGTGAAGCATCCATGTTTTCACTGACATGGATGGAGACTGTCAGAGACACTGGACTGGTGGGCGGAGTCATACAACCACAGGGCGGACTGGTGGGCGGAGTCATACAACCACAGGGTGGACTGGTGGGCGGAGTCACACAACCACAGGGTGGAGGTTCTAGTTTTGTTTTTCTTAAAATATATACCAGTTGGTTACCAGGTGATGAGTGTGGGGCTCACAAAACAAAATTAACTGAAACTGACATCCCTAATCTCAGCAGAAACAGGCCTTTTAGTTTAACCAGAAACAGCCCTGAAATCACCATCACCAACCCACCAGGCTCCATTTAAAGAAACAGTCATGCTAGTGTGTATAGAGGCAGCATGTTTTGAATGAAGTTTGTTTTATGATGTTAAAATGATGTTTATTTAAATGGAGTCTGGTGGGATCCTTTCATAATGTTGTCAGACACTTAGAATAACAATCTGAGCCTGTCAGTGACAAAAACAAACACTGTTAGTGGACGGACACTGACGGTGTGAACAGAGTGGTTACATTACAGCCTGTTTCACTGCTGCAGTGTCTCTCTCAGTACTGGACTAGTTTCAAAATCTGTTGCTCCCATTGGTCACTGAGACACAAAAGATGTCAGCTGAAAAATACTGAACTTACCCTTCAAGGTTTCACTGATATTTTTAGCTTCATATATGTTGTTGTTTGTGTATCACCACCTTTACAGCTCTGATGTAAGGGGATAGTTTGCCTCTCCACTGAGGCACCAGTATCTTTAAAATGTTCACACAGTGAATGTTTCCTGGGAGTGTTGTTGACGGTTGACAGTGACATCAGACTCGACAGCGGACCGCTTCCTCATGCCACTGGGCCGTTTCAGAGGCGTACACACTGACAGCCCCAGACAATCGTGGTGATGATGAATAAACCTGTGAGTGACAGAGGTGGGACGAGCCAAATTCTCCCTCCCACACTGTCCTGTAAAGCACTGACATTATGATGTTCATTTGTGGACATCTGGTGGAGCGCTCTCATTAGGTGAAATGTGAGGAGGCCATGAGGAGACACTGAGCAGTCAGACAAGCTGCATGGTTTTTGTTTTTCCTGCAGGTGTCTGCTGAGCGGAGACAGGCTGCAGACAGGTGGAATTAAGGTGAGCCAGTGAATCAGCCTCTGCACGACCAATCGATAGTGACCATGAGTCACGTCTGACGTACATGACTGCGTCTCTGACACCTGATGAAGTGTGACGATGATAATTATGGCGTGGTAAAGCAGGAGAGACGGACACACGTGTGCTGAGTCACGTTTGGCCAAAAATAAAAACTAATGCTTATTTCTATACTTCGTACTGTGAACCAGCACATTCTTCAGACCAGTGGCTCCCAACTGCTCCAGATTTCTCCTCCGTCATTGGTTTAAGATCCGCATAGTTTAATACAATCAGTATTGTACTTCAGTAGGAAACTGCACTTCAAAATAAAAGCTCTGTGCCTGAAATTCAATTTACTTCAAAATAAAGTGTTTGTAATGAGCCTGACATGTTTATGAGTCACTTGCGGTCCATTTCTGCACAAACTACCCTTTCTAAAATCTGCACAGCTCTATCCTCTTAATTCAGATTAGGGCTACAACTAACGATTATTTTTATTATCAATGAATCTGCCAGTTATTTTCCAGATTACTTGATGAATCATTTGGTCTTTAAAATGTCAGAAAATAGTAAAAACATCCGTCCCAGTTCCTCAAAGTCCAAGCGTGCACTTTTTAACTCTGTGGCTCACAGAGTCGCTTTGTCGACCATGTTTTCTCTCTTGTTGTATAACGCTCTTGTGAAGCAAGCAAAAAGCGATATATAAATACATTTTACTTATTTACTTAAATGTCAGTGCAAACCCCCAAATATTCACTTTCACATAATATACACAGAGAAAGTGAGAGGCTGAAAAATCAATTAGTCAACTAACTGTTGCAGCTCAAATTCAGATGTGCTGTACTTTTTTTAAAACAGTGTTTTTCATATATATATTCTATTCAAAATCCATCCATTTTCATCTGCTTACCCAAAGCCAGGTCTTTGGGGCCACAGCCTGAGCAAAGCACCCCAGACATCCCTCTCCCCAGTAACACTTCCCAGCTCCTCCTGGAGGACCCCGAGGTGTTCCCAGACCAGATGAGATCTATAATCCCTCCAGTGTGTTCTGGGTCTGCCCCGGGGCCTCCTACCAGCTGGACCAGGAGGATCCTGATCAGATGTTGAACCACCTCAACGTGAAGGAGCAGCTGCTCTACTCCGAGCTCCCTCCAGATGTCTGACTCCTCCCCCTATCTCTAAGGCTGAGCCCTGACACCCTACAGAGGAAACTCATTTCAGACGCTTGTATCTGTGACCTCATTCTTTCAGTCACTACCCAGAGCTCATGACCATAGGTGAGGGCTGGGACGGAGATGGACCAGGAAATAAAAAGCTTTGCCTTCTGGCTCAGCTCCCTCTGAACCATGATGGCCTGGCACAGCACCCGCATCACGCTGCGCACCAAACCACTGATCCATCTCACGCTCCATTCTCCCCTCACTCATGAACAAGACACCGAGATACGTGAACTCCTTCTCTTGATGCAGTAACTCTGTCCCAACCCAGAGGGAACAATCCACTGTTCTCCAGCAGAGAACCATGACCTCAGATTTGGAGGTGCTGACTCTCATCCTGACCGCTTCACCCTCCGCTGCAAACGGCCCCAGGTCATGTTGGAGGTCACTGTGTGATGAAGCCAACAGAACCACATCATCTGCATAGAGCAGTGACGCAATTCTGAGGTCCCCAAACTGGACCCTTTCCGCCCCCGGCTGCACCTCGAGATCCTGAGATCCATTTTTCTCTCTTAATTTCTTAACTCTATTCTTTAGTTATTTATTTAAATGTATCTTTTATTTTTATTCTATAGACTTTTAATTATCTTTTGTTTTGCCTTCTAAAAAATATTTCATTGTCTTATTGTTGTAATTTTCTAGTCTTGCAAATCTTTATGTTTAGTTGTTGTGATCCTTTAAAATGTGTCTTTTATTTCAGTTGTGCTCTGTGAAGCACTCTGGGCTGCATGTTTGTGTGAAAGGTGCTTTATAAATAAAGTTTAGTACTCTATAGTTTTTAAAATCCCAAATCAAATTCTAAAGTAATAAAATGTACGTCCTGAGGACAAGAGAAACATCTGTGTATATATATCGTTTACCCAAGTCTCAAACCAGGTAGTGAGTCCAGAGAGACGTGTTGGATTAAATTTGAATTGAAAAAACAATTCAAGTCTAATGTGAGTATGGAACCTAAAATGTCACCTGGAGACAGAGAACAGGTCTTACCTGGAGCTGAGCTGAGTGTGATGAACGAGAATCTGCTGAGAAACTGAACTCTATCACAAGACAAGGACCCCCAGTGGACGGCGATGTCGGGGCTGTGCCTCAGGACGCCTGTGAGTAAAACAGAGAGGAAACACTGAGCACAAATACTGGTACAACACCCACCCACACACACACACCCACACACACACACCCATACACACACCCCATCTTTAAATGTTTCTAATCTCACAAAGCTTGATGTGGTCCAGTCAGCTGTGAGAGTGGTCTCCTTAATATGTCTAAAATGTCTTTGATGCTTTCAGGTCGTCTTTTTACAAACAGATTTTCTACAAACGGTGTGTTTTCAGTAAATTTAATCAACATTTTGCGCAACTTTGAAATTTTGTCCAATTACAGCAAATTTCCTTCAAAGTTGACCAACAATCGCAGCTTCCGATGAGTTCAACCAATCATAGCAGCTCCCTGCACAACGTCACCAAACTCACTTCCTTGTTTCTGGTTGTACAGAAATCCCCCTCAAGGCGATCTTAAAGTGTCACATTAAGGAGAATGAGACAGATGCCAGGTCATACTGACCTTGACCTTTGACCACCAAAATCAAATCAGTTCATTGTTGAGTCCGAGGGAACATTTGTTCCAAATTCAAAGACATTCCCTCACAGTGTTCTTAATATTGTGTTTATGAGAATGAGACAAACGGACAATCCGAAGACATCACACCTCTGGCCACAGCTACTGCCAATGCAGAGGCACAAAAATGATAATACTGTTGACTAACATTCAGAGAAGCATTTTTGAAAAACATTATGATGCGAGAGTGAAGTTGGCCTCAACCTTTTGACCTCCTGTAAAACGCATGAATTGTTGAGTTATGGCTAAAAAAAACATGTTTTATGAGGTCACACTGACCTTTATCCACCAAAAACTAGTCTGTTCATTGCTGAGTTCAAGTGAACGTTTGTGCCAAATTTGTGTAAATTCCTATGAAGCCTTCTTGTGATATTGCATTCATGAGAATAAGATGGACTCAAGGTCACAGTAACCTTGACCCCTGACCAACAAATTCTAATCAGTTAATTGCTGAGTCAAACTGAACATTCGTGCCAAACTTAAAGAAATTTCCTCGGGACGGGGTGTCGGTGGCTTAGTGGATAGAGCAGGCGCCCCATGTACAAGACTGTTGCCGCAGTGGCCTGGGTTCGACTCCAGCCTGTGGCCCTTTGCTGCATGTCACTCTCTCTCTCTCTCCCCCTTTCACGCTTGTCTGTCCTATACATTAAAGGCTAAAAATGCCCCAAAAAATATCTTAAAAAAAGAAAGAAAGTAATTCCCTCGGGACATTCTTTAGATATCGTGCTCACGAGAATGGGACGTATGTACGGCTGGGCGGACAATCCGAAAAACGTAACGCCGACCACGGCTAACACTGGTGTGGAGATATAATGATAAACTGGAGGCGGAGTCTCTGCAGATAAAAACAGCAGCACACTGAGAGTGATGATGATTGGAGGGATCGCTGCTGTTTGAGTCTATACATTGATTTTTAGGAAAATCCTGCACAGTGTATCTTTAAAATAACAGTAAAGACTGCTCCAGAGAATAAAATGACCTCAGTGTGTGTGTGTGTGTGTGTGTGTGTGTGTGTGTCTCGTGGTTAGATGATGCAGCCTCACACACTGTACTGTACTTTCCCCTCGAATGTTGCACTGCAACAACGTCTTAATCATCAGCTTCTAGTTAAACACACCGGAGGACACTAAAACTGCAGCGAACTCACTTCCTCAGATTCATTTAATTCAGCACACACAGGTGGAAGCTTCCATCTGATATTCCTCAGGATTAAACTGAGAGATAATTCAGAGCTATCAAACATTCAGTCAGCAGTGGTTTTACCTGAGCTCTGCCATATTTTATCACTGCAGCTCATGAAAAGTAAAGAAACAGCATCAGAACCAAAGAAGTGTAGCTGTGAACTCTATAATGTGTGTGTACAGTACAGCGTGTGTGTGTGTGTGTGTGTGTGTGTGCAGGCTTTGAGTTTTCTTATAAGCAGCAACTCACAGCGACAGAAAAATCAATAAAAACTCTGTTATTGTTAGTCAAACAATATTTCCCCGACCCTGATGAATGTCTCAGCGTCGGGGTTTTGCGGCGCAGAGCTGTCAGACAGTGAGCCTACACAGAGCTGCCGAGACGCCGCACAGACACTGGTATTATGGGTTTATACGGGAAGAGGATCTGATGTATTATAGAGTGCTGGTGAAGAGGAGAGACGTGCTCTCAAACAAAAGTAATCCTGTTAAAGTGAAACAATCAGATCAGCAGCTTCAGACTGGACTAAATGCCCATCTCTTAGAAAACAGTCATCCTGTTGAATCCATAGGATCACACATGTGGGCGCAGAGACGTTTCCCTCCTGACACCAGGCTGTGATTCAAGATCATCTGCTACTGGATACTGAATCTGCTGGTAACAAACTTTAACATCTGATGGACTCACCACTAAAGTTAGGGTGTTTTCCTTTTTAAACAAACCAAAAAGTTAATCTCTTACATGGACGCTGATGACGTCAGCACGCTGGCTGACTCTCTCGTCTGTGGACATTCCCATAGGAAAGTTGTAATAGAACTAGCGCTGGCTCCCAGCAGCAGTAATGTGATTGGATCCAAATCCATGTACTTCTGTACTTCCTCGACCAACGGCTGATTAGCTTTGCCTTACACCCGCCTACACCGGAATTGCTGTTCCCTGAATTGTCGACTCTGAACAAACCCGACAAATATCCACGTTTCTTCGGTGTAGTAGCCTGAGCCATGAATGACTACATTACGAATCTACATCACAGTACTACGCACCAGTAACCTTCTCTCTGTGTTTCTGGTACGTCTCTGTTACATGTAACACATGTGCCTTACCTATGGCAACGCCGTCACGTGGTCTGGTTATCCCCTCCCATTTCTATTACAAAACGAAAGACGAATGTCCCCAGACTCCCATTCCGAAGTAAGGGAGGCTGGTTCACGCGAGACTACCAAAAAGTGGACCAACAGAAAGGAGACTCAGTTCTCTCTCTGGTCCACTTCAGCTCTGACGGGGCCTCAGTCCTCTTCCTGTTCACACCTATATATATGTATAATATATACTGACATAGTTTTGTTTTTACTTTGACGTGGCCCTGCAGTGTGGTCGTGAAGCCCCTCGCAATATTTGATGACCTGAACTGGGAAGAATTAGCTGTAAAACACAATGGGACCACATCATGAAGCCTCACAGAGGCAGAATTCAAAGTAAATAACAATATCACAGGAAATAAAGACTTTGCACGTGTTTTTCTGAGGTGACACAGAAACAGGCTCAGCAACCTTCATGGATAACTTCAACCTGGGCCCTATTTCCCCATGTGTATGCGTGCGTATGATTCATAGGTACAACTCGTTTTAAAATTGGTTCAGTATTGAGGGAGGCGGATGCAGCCGGCAGCCGCGAAACGAGCTAAAACGGTAGATACGGGGGCAAATGCGTCCTGTATAAGTTTGCACAATGAAAGAGCTTTTTTTCGCCACTGACCGGTTCAGATCGCCAGTGCTATCTCTGTAAATAGCATACTAAGTGTTTCCCTGACCCTTCACTTCCTCTGGGCTGTGTATGACGTCATCTCGCGAGAGCTTTGCCTGTTGCTGGAAGAAAACAGAGGAGCCATGCTGAGCACCGCTGAGAGTGGCGCTGGTTGTCCCGGAGTACAGTTGAGAGTTTTACTGCATCGGTATCATGGCTGCATATTTACCCAATTTCAAGAATGAGGATGAGCCCTTTTATTACGATGGCCGCCCGTACTTATTTGAGCCTGGGTATAAGGTCGAGGAGCTCCTACAAACTGAAGAGCAGACGAGGATAGAGAGAGAGGGCCAACGAGCAGACAAGGGTGAAGCAGCGGCTGCACGAACGCGAATCTCTGAGGACTGGCGGTGCTCCTGTGGTTGCTGTGACTCCATGCCCACAGAGGAAGAATGTCTGTGTTGCAACGAGTGGGACCTGCTGCCCAGTATTCATGGTCTCGATGTGTCCTGGGATGATACAGAAACTACCAAACGCTGTGTAACTACGTCATGTGCCCAAAATAAATTGGAGGAGGCGGCCAAAACCACAGGGACCAAATGGTCAACTATCCATCAAGTAAGTATAACTAATATGTCTTTATGCATGTAATACTGATAATACTAATACTATCTACAGAGATAGCACTGGCAATCTGAACCGGTCAGTGGCGAAAAAAAAGCTCTTTTAATGCGCAAACTTATACGGGACGCATTTGCCCCCATATCTACGTTTTAGCTCGTTTCGCGGCTGCTGGCTGCATCCGCCTCCCTCAATACTGAACCAATTTTAAAACGAGTTGTACCTATGAATCATACGCACACATACACATGGGGAAATAGGGCCCAGGTTGAAAAATACCGAAGTTATCCTTTAACTATCAATGGAGACATTTTTGACCAAAAATAATTTTAAGAAATCTGCCTGGAGCCACAAAACATATTTGATGGTTTGGTGCTTTAACTTAACAATGAAGAAAAAACCCCGCTGCATTTTTCATAGTGTGGATATTAAAGTGTTAAGCACAATGCATGGATGTGTGTGAGTGGGCATGTACACACACTTCATATTTAAATAACAGTCATTGTTCAGAGTTTTTTGTCTCTGCTCTTAATTGCGTCTCCACTTTCACTGAATCTTTGCCCATGTTTTATTGTATATGTTATGTATATTATTATATTGTGTTACTGGAGGCCCAGTCATCCTACACTTCCTGTTAGAATTCTAAAAGCCTAATCAGGGACAAGCGGTGCAAATTAGCCACCTGTATATGCATTACATCTACGATGAATTTAAATATGAGTCGATGTTCTGTGCATTTGTCCTTGTCAAATAAACAAACAAATGAATAAATCTATAAATGTACGCTCTTTGTTTCACTATGACTCACTGGTTATCCACACATTACAAACAGCAGTGGTGGAAAAAGTATTCAGGTCCTTCACTTCAGTACCACACTGTGCTGTTGTTGAAGTTATCAGTATATCATTTCTGTTGCTGTGTGTTTGTGTTTG